AATCTTTTTATGTGACTTGCTCAAAGAATTTTCATTCGTATGTCAAATCTCTCTTTGGGGGTCAATCATGATCTGCACCAAATTCGATCAATTCAATTTAATTTCACATCCCAGTTGGGATATTACTCTTATCTAAAAAAACTCATTATTTTTCTTTAAAGACAACTCGAAAAAAAACTTCTTTTTTTCCACTTTTTGCTAAATTTTCTACTCCCTCCGTCCCTAAATATTTGCCACATTTGTATTCCCGAGACAAAATATCAAGTTTTTTCAATTCATTTTATTTACATATTGGTATAGAAATAAAAAATAAAATTTACATATCAAAAAACTACATGAAAAGTTCTTCGAAATAAGAGGTGTCAAGAATATTTTATTTTATCAAATAACCAATGAAAACGTAGAAATAAACAAAAGTTCCCGCGACTGCTGAAAAAGCAAATGTTGTGAATATTTTGAGACGGAGGGAGTATAAAAATCACTTCAAATATAATTAAAACAAAGAAAAAGTACCAAAATANAAAAACTTCTTTTTTTCCACTTTTTGCTAAATTTTCTACTCCCTCCGTCCCTAAATATTTGCCACATTTGTATTCCCGAGACAAAATATCAAGTTTTTTCAATTCATTTTATTTACATATTGGTATAGAAATAAAAAATAAAATTTACATATCAAAAAACTACATGAAAAGTTCTTCGAAATAAGAGGTGTCAAGAATATTTTATTTTATCAAATAACCAATGAAAACGTAGAAATAAACAAAAGTTCCCGCGACTGCTGAAAAAGCAAATGTTGTGAATATTTTGAGACGGAGGGAGTATAAAAATCACTTCAAATATAATTAAAACAAAGAAAAAGTACCAAAATATGAGTTTCATGTTTTCATTCTCGAAATAGGACTTTGCACTGTGGTAATATGGTTGTAATGTGACACTGTACATGTGCACATTACTATACTTTTTATTAATGTATATGACCATGTTTGGTAATATAAATACATTTTAACTCCTATTTTAGTATATTTTTAATGTTTTACTTCTACTTTAGCGTTTTTTTCAATTTTCTTAAGCTCACAATTGTTGCCTCCCTCTTATGTCCCCGCGTCAATTGAGGAAGCTTATTTTGCAATGGAAGAAGTATTAAAATAGGACTATACTATGAGTATATGTTTTCGAACCAAACTAGGGAGTGTATATGGTACAACCGACTGTACTTAGAATTAAGTACATCCGTGTAATACTCATTCTGAAGTAAAAAAAGTAGTACTCATTCTCAAATATATACTCCCTCCGTTCTCAAAAATACTTCCTCTTTCATTTTTTTCACTTCCAACAAAACACTTCCACTTTCTATTAAAAAACCACGTTTACCCTTGTTTTTTCATACTCTACCTATCACATCATACTTTATTTCTAATAGTCTATCCATCACATCTTACTTTTACCTATCACATCAAGGTCAAAATTGGAAGTCAACTACAATTTAATACTTCCTTATTTTTACATAAAGTCAAAAGAGGAACACTTTTTCAAACGGAGGGAGTATATATAAACTTTCATTTTAAAATATGTAATATTCATTTTGGAATAAAATAGTACTCATTTTAAAATAATGTAGTACTCATTTTAATATATTTGTTTAATAATTCATTCTGAAACAAAGCGATTCTCATTCTCAAACTCCCTCTTTTCTTCAAATTTGTCATAAAAATATAATCCTACCTCCCTATCCCTATCCAAGATCCTCACCTCATCCCACATCCTCCCCACGCATCACCTTCATCATCGATTGCCCCACATTCAACTTCTATTGCCACTGCATCGTTGCACTAGGGCCGGTTCCTCCTTTGTTGGTGCGCCTCCCCTTCCGTCGATCTAATTTCTGGATGTACCGAAAAAACGATACAGCCGGCTGTACTTTATACTTAATTTGCAACTAAACTAGGATCTCTTAATATAAGAGCACTGGAAATACGTTTGAAGCCCCGGGGCTTCAAACCGGGGCTTCAAACTTTCTCTCTCTGTCACGTCAGCTTTAACTTACACCCAAAATTCACTGGAAATGGGTTTGAAGCCCGGGGCTTTAAACTGGGGCTTCAAACCTTCATTTTTTACATTTTTAAATATAAATCTTCTAAAATTAAATTAATAAAATGTAATTAATTTATTATTTAATTTAATTGAAACACGAATGATAAAATACATTAATTAAATAAAAAAAGCGACAATAATTTAAAAAAAGATACATTAATAAAAAATTAAGATAAATTATATTTCTCCTTGATCTCTCTCATTCTTTGCTCGTAGATCATTAGTCCAAACTTCGACAACGTCCCGGGGTCGGTTTGCATGACTTTCATCTCGGCCTCCTACTCCTTTAGCTTCAACTCCTTCTCCTTTAGCTTCAACCTCTCTTATTTTTGGAGATTGAACCCCCGAAGTTGTTCAATCATTGCCCGGCCGATTTCATCGCGGGGAGAAGCGGAAACAGAGGCGGACCCTCCCGAACCAGATGCAATGGATTTTGCCTTCTTTCTTCCGATCGGCCGTGGAATGGGGTCCTCGTCATCGGAATCCGCAACGTTGAAGGGAGGGATTTGATCGGTAGAACCGATAGTCTCGTCGACCTCAACCTCGGCGTCGACGGTGGATCTTTTTCGGAACGATCCGCCGTCGGGATTGTTGAGTTGTTGCCACTTCGGGGAACGACTCAAAATCCTCCAAAGATCGATGGGCACCTTGCCTTGGTTCCCGTCATCTTGATACCGGGTCGTGGCAAGCCGGAGAACATCGGCGTTGTTCGTGCCGCTCCTCCGTGACCGGGAGCATTCCTCGTAAACTCCCATAAACTTTCGGACTTTTTTGTTGATGTGGCTCCATTTGGAAGTGGGCTGGTCCCGGGTTCGGTAGGAGCCGTCCTTCTTCATCGCCGTGAAGAACTTCTCCTCGATACGATCGCACATCGCATCCTTCGTTTGCTCCATACCTTTAAAAATGTATTACACAATTTTTTTAGACACCATTAAATATAATATATATAAATAAAAACATAAATATATTAGAAAAAATAAATTTTTTACCAATGATAGGATGCTCGAAGACGTCAACCCAAGCCGACGCCAATATGCACTCCTCCGGCGTCCACTTTTGGATTGACCGTGCCGCCTCGGTCAACGTGCTTTTGGCTTTGTGGCTCCTCCGCCGTGTACTTTTTTTCGATCCGGACGGTTCCGGTTGAGTCTCCGGAACTGAATCTCGGTCGACGTACCCCGATTGTTGCGTCTCGTACATCGGCAGTCGATCGCCCAACTCTTGGTAATACCACATCGTGGCGTCGACGGGCACGAGATTGTCGGAAAAGAAGCCGGAGTCGGAAGGATTCATGTTGAAAAGAGAGGGGGTAATTTCGAATTTTAAAAATTGGGAAGAAGAAGAGATTGAAGATGGAGAAGGTGTGAGAGATTGGGAGGGGGGTTTGAATTTATAAGAATTTTTTTTTTGAATTGGGGGGTGCAACGGCTATTATAGCCGTTAAGGGGGGAGGGGAATGGAATGACGCAGCGTCATTCCTTTGACGCACGCCGGATCACGCCCAAATAACGCCGGAGGGGGGCGGTGTTTCACGCCCCCGGGGCGTTAAACGCCCATTCGCGCCGGCGGGCGTGAAGCCCATTTCCAGTGCTCTAAGGACTATTGTTTCGAAAATAATGATTTGTTTTTTTTAATATCGTTTTTGTGATCCTACAAATAGTGACATTATCCCATTGGAGTGATTTCTCAATTCTCATTTATGCTTGTAGAATGTCAAATACGGAGTAGGGAAATGCGCGACCACATGGATATAGAGCTCATGAAATATCATTAACAGGAATGTTGGTAGATACTCCCACCGTCCTAATTCTTTCTTCCTAGTTTGACTTTTTCTCATTTTTAATTTTTTGCTTTGACTTCAAATTTTACCCTCCTTAAAAAATATTTTTTGAATTTTTTTTACAATCATTCAAAATATAGAGTTAGAAGATATTTGGTGTAAATATATGAGGGTATTAATGTCATTTGTCATCTATTTTTTCTAATGGGATGGTAGTTTTAGGACAGAGAAAAAGGGAAAGTGGGAAGAAAGTTTTAGAACAGAGGGAGTATATGCTACATATATGCATACTTTATTATTGAATAAATATGATGTGATAGGTTAGTCCGAATTTATTGGTATAAAATTGATTATTTAATAAAAAGGAGAAAGAGATTTTGAAACAAAGAAAAATAAATGAAATAAATACTTTTAGAGATGGAAAGAGTTCATATATACACTTTCTTGTTAGTTACATGGTGTTCGCTAATCTTTTGGCAAAATAGAATCTCATATTTGTTAGGTATTTTACTAGATAGAAACCTCTATTTGTTAGGAGAGATTTATTTTATTTAGACTTCTAGAGTTGCAACAGTTTTCGAGGTTGACACAAAAGATGCTACAACACGATCCTATAACACACTGTTCGAGATCAGAAGCCTGAGCACGAGATTTTAAGCTAGAATGTGAATCAAAGACTTATTGGGATTGTGACTACATGCTAATAACTCCAACTATATGTGTTAAGGATTCCCAACTCTTTAAGCTACTTGTGGATCAAGATTAGGGAAGTTGTATTCAAGTCAACTTCTACTAACACACTACAACATAAATGACCTATGCCAACAATAAGAAATTGTTGTCAAAGATGAAAAAACTGTTGCCTTACATCTAAGGCAACAATAGTTGAGTGTTGCAAATGCCTTTGTTGTCTTTTCTTAAGACAACAGTTTTGGTACAAAAGGCAACAGTTACGAAAATAAGCTTATATGTAGCTTAGGCAACAGTTTTTTCACAGCAACACATCATAATTGTTGCCTAATACCAAGAGTTTACAACAGCTCTTTCTAATAATAATAATAATAATAATAATAATAATAAACCAAACAAGAGAACATATATACAGAGAATAATCTTTAAAGCATACACCAGTTTTTAAAGAAATTTTTTATTATAAAACAAACAGAAAGTACAAGAGGGGAGTACCAAACCAAAGCCCCTCGGAATATAAATGAATAAAAACCTAATTAAAGCAAACCAAAACAGCGTACATCAATCTACGACATTATAAAAAACCGACCCATCCATCAGTAAAAAATTGTTGCAAGAACGTCACAACAGACCATAACGCGCACCACTAGCTATTAGAACAACAGCAACAAGACCTCAACTCCCCATCCCTAGTTATCACCTGCAACATCAATGAACAACCAAGCAGCAACAAGACCAGATACATGGCACAAACCAGTAGTCACAACAAGCAACAAATCATGTGTTTTATGAGCATTTACAACACCCAAGAACATCATCATAAGAGCATATTAAGAGCATATTGAACTGGAAAATAAAAAGCTCTAATCATTTCATTACCAAATTACCATAGACCATATATATAATGATTATCTTAAAAGTAAAAATAGCCTCTTCAAAACCATCTTTCCAAACATAACTGTAAGGAATCAAATTAAAGAAGCACTGCAAAGATTACAGAATGTTTCGTACCAGACTAAGAGCTGTTGTTCCAAGAAGCAAAAGATACAGTTTTCCCTAAACATGAAAATGGTTACAAATGTTACAAAATTTTGACTTGTAGGTACAAAGTATGGGCATGGACCAGATATATATCACAAACAAGATACTAAAATCACTGCACCTCAACCCAAAAGTCCATTGGAACCCGAAAATGCTAACAAAATTACAAAAGAAAATAGGGTGGAAAATGGAAGGAATTGGTAGACAACTATGTTACAAGACAAATAAATCATTTAAAAAATAATTTTCGAAACACAAGAATACTCTATGAATAAAAGATTGAATCTCGTGAAAAATTTGAACATAAGGAACCAGAAATTGTAGAGAAAATTAACCCAAAGATTTGAAAAGAAGAAGATTATGACACCCTTCCTTGGAACTTTGGCCTAAAAATAAGACGAAACTATTAAAATAGACAATATTAAAATGATATATAATTTGAAAAAATTTCATAGAACTTACATCAGAAATTGGAGCAGATCTGATTCTAAGGATCTCAATAATCATGGATACAACATTATAAATATCATCAAAAAAATCAATAGATGTAAATCAAGTAAAAATCAGTAAAAGAAATATATACGAGTAGCATACAACGTAAGCACAAACTCAGTAAAAAAAATTATAAAATCGGTTAAAAAAACAACATACATACCTCTTTGGAGGCTTTGAGTGTCGATCTAAAGTGGAGAGGTCATTCATCTGGAGACTGGAGTGGAGGCTGCTGTATAGTGTGGAGTGCGATGGCGGTGGCATCTGCTCGAGCGGATCCACGAGAACGAAATAGGAAGACAGGAAGACGGAAAGCAGGGAACTGCTTTCGATTTGCGGCGAACGAAGAAGGAAGCCGGGAGAGGAGAGTAATTGTAGTGCGGCTAGGGTTAACAAGGCAACCGTAAAAAACTAATGTGTGTATTTGGGCTTTGTATTCTCCGTATTAAATTAACATTTCATTTAACAACTAATGTGTGTTGCCTTTGGCCCAATTTGGCAACGGTTTTTTTTGTTGTCACTAGGGCTGTTCATCGGTCCAAGACCGGACCGAACCGGACTGACCCGGACCGGACCGAAGACCGAAAAGAGTAAATTCTAGGACCGAAGACCGGACCTAAATCCATTCGGGTTTGGACCAGACCGGACCAAAATATTTAGGACCGAACCGGTCCGGACCGATTAGACCGAAAAAATTATATTTTTTTAATTATTTAGATCAATTAAATATATTTTAGACTTTTTACTTTGTACTATTCAAATAGAAAATGAATAAAAAAAATAGGTAGCCTTAAAATGGATACACAATATGAACTACTTCAATGTAGAACCAAAAAACAAATATGAAATGTTTTTTTTTAAGATTTTTTTAAAATTACTTAATAAAAAACACTTTAAATTAAATAAATTAAAATATTTATTAAAATAGAGCATCAAAGTATAATACGAAATTTAAAAAGTAGAGTTTTAGTATTTAGGTCTTTTAGGTCCAGTAGGTCATTAGGTCCAACCGATCCAATCGGTCCGGACCTAAATCATTTCGGGTTTGGACCGGACCGGACCGAAACCCGAATGCCAAAATTTTCTGGACCGAAGACCGACCCGAAATCCATTCGGTCCGGGTTCGGTCTGGACCTATCGGTCCGGTTCGGTCGGTTTTTTCGGTCCGGACCTAAATGTGAACAGCCCTAGTTGTCACTACAACATGTATGGAATTTAATGAAATCTAAAGCTTCATGTCTAAACTGTTGCCAAAGATACTCATTAGCAACACATTTAATTTTGTTGCAATATTGTGTGTTGCCTTAGGCCAAATATCTTGTAGTGACATATCCCTACTAGGATTGAGTTTCGATTGGACTATAAAAACGCAGTAGGTCCCTAGGAATTCTTGGGAGCGATCAAGAGGGAAAACAAAGAATCTACGTTGATGTAGAGCATTCCCGTCATGTACCAGAGCTTCCCATGCGTGAAGAAGGTTAGGATTTACATGAAGAAGGAGATCTTCAATGCCAAACAGATCGTGACGTCCAAGAGATGAACTAGAGCTGAATAAGTGAGATGCCAACATGGTTTTCTTCGTGATCTCGGTGGAGATGTGATAGCCGAAGCGGATCTGTACAGGGTATGAGTTAGAGATCCTAGATTAGAAGTTTTGTCATAACAATTCGGAGAAGTGTGTCTCATCATGTTGTTATGTACCGGTGTAACTTGTATCGAGTGATTTAGTGGAGGGCTATTACACGAGCATGGGCCCTGCAGATGGAGGAGAGTTTTCCAAACTGCGTAAACATATATGGTGTTCTTTTTTACGCATTTTATAATTACAACATTCTGCCCAGTAGGCGCTGTAACACCCTCTGCGTCATCTGCTTCTGTGTGTGTGCTTGTGCTGGAGAAGGTGTTATAACACACACTCTCTGTCATTTGTTACTGTGACAGTGCTGCAGTATCTTTTCTGTAGCATATATAGTTGATTGATTTGTTTGCATAGCTTTCAGATCAATTGGTGATTTCCGTTGCACCCCCACGAACTTACATTTCTCATGTCGGTCATAGCATACGCATTCCCTCTGTCCCGATGTTTTGCTCACTAAAAAAGGCCTTAGTCGTCGTCATTCAAGGACTACATACGCACGTTAGTTTCTAGATAATGTTCTTCATGTTGATGCATGGATCCTTAGGTTCATGGTGAGTTTTGGTCTTAAAACGGTTTAAGAAGGACGTGTTAGTAGTTTGATCGATGAGGCATGGCACTAGCTAGCATTAATTAAATCCGGCCAACTGTATGTACGTATGTATCCATTATATTTGAGATGATGAGAATGAAGTTGGAAGAGATCGAAGGCGCAGCATGCTCTGTTATAATTTATTGTTGTTGTACTTTCACCCCCGGCCAAAGACGAATTGAAATGAATTAAAGTGGCAATTGATGAGCCAACACTTTCATCACTTTAGTAGCTAGCTAGGAAAGTGATGTTGACCTCACACCATATATCCCATACCAG